ATGTCCTGGAAAGGGAGGACCTCTGGTTACCCTGTCCCCACTACACCCAGCAACAATGTCTAGATGTCCTCACGGTCAAGGAGGAGAAGGCACTGCAAAATGGAGGACAAAAATGGAGGGACATGACCAACGTAAAGGCTAAAAAACACTCCTGTCACTATCAATCCATGCTTCCGAGTCATTGCTCAAAACGGAGGCCATTTTGGAATCCCTCCTGGACGCAAGGCTGGAATGGAGGGACATGACCAAAATAAAAGCTCAAAACACTCCTATGAATATCAGTCCATGCTTCTGAGTCATGCTTATAATGGAGGCCATTTTGGAATCCTTCCTGGACAGAAGGCAGAAATGGAGGGCATGACCAAAATAAAAGCTCAAAACATTCCTATCAATATCAATCCATGCTCAAAATGGAGGCCATTTTGGAATCCCTCCTGGCAGAAATGGAGGACATAAAAGCTCAAAACACTCCTATCAATATCAATCCATGCTCAAAATGGAGGTCATTTTGGAAGCCCTCTTGGACAGAAGGCTGGAATGGAGGACATGCCCAAAAGAAAAGCTACAAAACACTCCTATGAATAACAGTCCATGCTTGTGAGTCATACACATAATGGAGGCCATTTTGGAATCCCTCCTGGACAGAAGGCTGGAATGGAGGACAGGGCCTGGAAAAGGAGGAGGCCTGGTTACTCTGCTCAGAGTCCAGTGGCAGGAACTGGAGCTGGGGAGGGTGTTTTTCTCTCTCCAAATATGTCCAAAGGCTAAACGCTTCTCCTTTCAGGGGGAGCCTTTGCATGATCTATGATCCTGTCAGCCTAGAACCGTTAAAAGAGAAGCCAAAGCGGAGCCTCTTAAAGCTCTGGCCTAGCTGCCCCATTCATCATCGCATGGCGGCGTCTTTTAACGCCTCGGCCTCCGCTGAGCCTGACGTCTTAACTGCTTTTCACGCGAAAATCCTGACTTGGGACCAAGGCCAGGGCATCCAGGCATCCTCCTTTTCCAGGACGCGTCCTACATTTCAATCTTTCTGCCCAGGAGGAATACCAAAACATCCTCTATTTTGAGCATGACTTAAGCAACATGGATATGAGTGTTTCTAGCTTTTGTTTTGCTCATGTCCCTACATTTTGTTTGAATGTCCT